AATTGAAATTTACCGCCATGTATCTCGTTACCTCGTTAGGCTTCAGGTGTCAAAGAAATTATAAATTATGTAGTGAACTGGATCTCTGGATATAGCGGATTACAGTGGTAGAGTGGGCCCGGCTCTATCCGTTAGTTCCGTGGAGGGCTCACTACTGTAGAGGTGTGGGAGTAGCCAACCAAGCAGCTGGATCAGAAAGACTAACACCAGATTAATCAGCAACTCTCTTTATTATTCTTCCAATACAAAAATAAATCATTCCCGTCCAACACTCGTCAGCTCTCGCTCCTAACAGAGTTCTCTATAACGCTCTCCTTGTCGGACTCTCTAAAACGCTCTTTGTCGGGCTCTCTATAACGCTCCTTATCGGGCTCTCGGTTTCGCTCCTAGAAGGGCTCTCTAAATCGCTCCCTATAAGTCGGGGTCAAACTCGTCAGTGAAATCGATTGGAGAACTGGTTTCTATCTTACCTCTACTAATCACGACTCGACTACTGATTCCGGGCAAACAAGGTACTATATACCTAAAATCACGTGACGTAACCACGTGGTCTAAGACACACCTACTGGTCTTGCCAATCGCCAGCACGTGCAACCAATGGACAGCGAGCCAACGACAATGCATGTAATGTGGTGGACACACTAGCCGAATGATTCGGCCGAATCAAACAGGTTTGATATATTCGGCCGAATTATATTCGCCTGGTGTGTCCGCTTCTCCGAAGCATTCGGCCGAATGTAGAATTCATTAGCCAATCACCACTCATATCGAGAACTCACGTGATAGATTGAAGACATAGACGCCGCCATGTTTAAAGTGCACATAAGATTGGTTTGGGAACTTTACGATACGTGTAGCCAATGGTTACTATATCAACTTTACGGCAAGTTCACACCAATCTGATTGAAATTAATTCAGTTATCTCCACTCAAAGTCGTAAAAATAGATCTCCCGTAAAAACGACTTTACCAATTATCGAAAACACTCTTAATCCCCTCAGACGCCAGTGACGTCACAGTGACCGAATGCATATTCAGAATGTTTATTCCTTAATTACCTATATACAGCCGGCCTGTGTATTCATTAACGCCTGACCGATTCCTTAATCCCCTTAATTAAATAAAACAATTGACTACGGAATAATTTGTTTTGTAATTCATTTTAATTTAAGATCCAATTTAGAATTTGTTTCTCACGACAGCAATTTTAATACCCTCTAACATCGTGTGCAGTCCAATCGATTCGAGATACATTTTCGTCAAAAGAGTATTGTGGTTCTAATTTCCCCGAGTAAAAGGGTGCAGGAGTAAAAAGATGTGGTCAAGCAAAATGTATCATAATAGTCAAACATGATTGAAAAGCGATTTGTAAAAGCGATCCGTTATCATCGTACGGTGGATTTGACTTCATTACTCTGAAATAGACCGTAAAAATGAAATACGAAAATATATCTCAATATACGTTAGAATTAACAGTACAAATAAATTTTGTTGGTAACCATCTAAATGGAATAACAGATAGATTGAGAGGGCTCATCTAACTATCTTTGTGTATTATGGCAAGTAGTGTCGTTAATATTTTCTATCATTAATTAATCAATCCGACTAAAGTTATACAGACTTGGGGTCATAAATTAATTTACATCTCGGTGTTAGCAGTGATTGTTAGTGGGATTAAGAATGCTGATTAGGTAATTATCTTTTTTACACCGGCCAGATCAAAGACATCACTCTAGGTGGAACGTATGCGTAGTACCCACGAATGGACTAATGGTAGAATCGTGCACACACATATTAATTGTATAAGATAATTAAGTTTTACTCAACAGTTGTTTATAATTATTATTTACCCAATAATTATTGCTCACCGGTGTTTTTGTAATCAAGTAGCCTCGTATTATTTGTTGACTGGCGTTTAAACATTTAATTGACTTGATATGAAATCTGAATATAAATTATTCGAGGGATAAACTTTTGTAATACGATTAGGTTATCTTCTTTATAATAAAAGTATTTTACAATTGCATTGACAGTTTAATCACTCACCAAACGGCATCAGGAACCCTGCGTATGATCAAGTGTATTTGATATTCATGTCCATGAATCCCATGCAAATTTCGCGCTAAAGTTTAACCCCAGTTACTACGCCCGTGGTGCATGGAACCGTACATGACAATAAGATTCCCAGCGTTGATTGGCTGAGAAATGAGGGCGATCTATGCATGGTCATCGGAAAATTCCATATTCGCTGTGAATTTCAAATGGAGTTACGATAAAAGTTGTTCTTTGTGTATAGAAATGGTTATTATTATTATATATAGCTAATAATGAATATATCGACAATTGACTGGCACCATTTGTATTTCTGTACTTATAGAGAACAGTTTGGGATATCAAGTATTACGGGGTTATCCAAATTACCGGTAAATGCGCTAATTGCTTAGGTCGTCTTTAGTTGTCACGGGGCTTATTTAAACAAAGGCACCTTAAATGGATCTACGGCATGATACAGCATTTTAAATTCACTCTAAAATATTCCCAATCACAAATGTCTAATCTATAACAACGCAAGATGATAATTCGGTGATTATGATTATGCCAGTCACATGTTAATTGGACACATACACACTTGTCAACTGGTGGTGTGTATTGTATAGATAATGTATATAGTATGTGTAGTGCCTGTGATGTCACCAGCCAATCAACCGGATTAAGGTTGTAATTGAAAATTTGAAAACCGTTTTTGGCTTTCGGATACTTAAACCTCAATAGCTGAATTAATTTTAATCAGATTTGTTTGAACTTGCCGTAAAACGGATATAGTAACCATTGGCTATAAGTACATTCAATTAAGATTTTTAATCTTGTGTGGTCTTTAATCATGTGACGTGAAAGGTGATGCAATCGACAGGTTGAATCGGGCGAAGCATTCGGCTAGTGTGTCCACCCATTCGGCCGAATAAAATTCGGCCCCGATTGATTCGGCCGAACGATTCGGCTAATGTGTCCACTGCTTAAGGATGGAGTTACGAAATTGCATGACAATATAAATATGAATAACAATATGGGCTACATATTACAAAGTTAAAGTTCTTAAAAAGATGTACAATTAAAGTAAATAATTACTAATTACTAAATAAGAAAACTAGGTCGTCTAAACTGAGGACGCGGATCGGGCTATGAACATGCACTTCAGATCACCACAATTAGATCTTTATTTACACAACAAGCACAAAATCAACTCTGTAGACCCACGGATGGCTTTGATTCAACTTGGATTTAAACAGGATTTCATTGATTGATTAAATTTTTAAATGGCGTCATAAGCGGAGATTAACCGTTACGTTGACGTCATACTTCGGAAATATTTAGATCGAGGCTAAATGATAGAGTGTACGAAGCGAGGCCGCTGTTGAGCGAGGGCGCATGTCAGTCAATTTGATTGAAAGTTCCATACGGCCTTGATATTATGTTTAGTTGTGGTTAAAATGTGAGTTTGGATGTGGGTATTATATGCTTTTTTGTCACTTGCGTTTACAGAAAAAAATATGGAAATTGATAAACATGGCAGCTAACATCCCCCAAATTGAATTGCAGCCCCATTGGATCACTGTTTCCTATTTGTCTGCTTCGGGAGCTACGCAGGCCTACCAGTTACAGTACAAGAGTACACGCACGTTAACAAGAAGTCGGTTATAATTATGCCTCATTGATTTGATCCATTTCTTTCAAACTTTCGCTTCTTATCTATATATTAAAAGTCTTATTTTTAATTTGTAGTAAAAATAAATGTGATACGCATTGAATTGCAACCCCGTCTCAAACCGAATAGGCTAACGGTACCGTAGCCATTGAAAACGTTACTTGATAATCGAGATTATATAGGTGGAGTTAACGCCTGTCAATCAAACGATCGGGCATTCTCGGAGACGGTGAAGAGAGAGTTGACTCCTATAGTCAAAAATTACAATGGTGATAACATTGTTCAGAATAAAGTAATTTGACTGACATTTTCAATATATTCTTCTTTCATCATCTATTTTTGAACTGTTATAGCAAGAATGGCCAACTCTCTATTACAATCTCCCATAATGTAGGCTTTCTTTAAGGAATCTAAATTAACTTATCGAGGCCATAATCAACTCTCAATAGCATCGGATATCTCCGATATTAAATAGATTAGAACAGTTCAGCCATATTTTGATTTAAGCTAAAAATGGAGGAGCGGGACTTTGCTTTGAACATCCAGTACGATGGTTGAAATTATTGCACACGTCTTGTCAAGCCTTCAAAGGCTAATATCTTCGCTCGCAATAGAGTAATTTGAATGAAATTTCCAAATTATTTATTTTACATGATCTATTTTCGAACTATTATAGCAAGAATGACTAGTTCTTTATCTAAATCTTACATAATGTATCTTTAATTTGAATTCCTTTGATATTGTTTGTATGTGTATGTATGAATAAAATATATTTTACTTGCAAAAAACATTATATGAAGAAAAATTGTCTTTCCTTATGTCAACTTTATTCATTGCAAATTATATTACAGATATGTTGCAGTAAATATACTGATAATATGCCCCTATTTGATGATACTTTATTTTTCGTTGCGGTAATTGTAGTGATATGCAGATGTTTGGTATGGGGTTATTCTTTGCAGTAATTATACTGGTATGCAGCTATTTGATATTGGGTTATCACTGGATAGTGTATCGTAATATTGCGTATTGAGGCATGGCCAATTACATTTCTTGAAGCATCTTTTCCGTGATTTAGCTCATTGTTATTGAGGTAATCAATCACTGATTACACTATTTATGGTTATTTTTGGCATATTATTAAATATATGCAAACATATTTTAGATATTCTTGTCATTCAAATAATGGCTCGAATGAGCCTTGTCATGGCCCGAATCAGCCAAACATCTGGTACGAATCAACCAAGGATATCGGATTTAACCGAGGTGTGCCGAATGGGTAAAGCGGATTGTATGACGTCAATGAGATAGGACGTCTTCGATCTGGAATTTTCCACCAGGTTTTGGCTCCAGCTATCTCGATATTTTATGTCATTTGAAATGTTGACAGAAATTGAAAAACGCGGAATTGAGTCGATTTTGAAGAAACCGCCGATAGATGACCTGATAACGTTGACTAAAGGAAAAAAAACGGCGAAAAATTCCTTTGAAGGTAACTTTAACTTACTTTTCACTTTCACTTTCACTTTACTAACCGACGCTTTATTGTCCCCCGCCTTTCGAAGAAAGCAGGGGACTATTAAAATGGGTTCGTCTGTCTGTCCGTCCGTCCGTCTGTCTGTCTGTCTGTCCGTCTGTCCGTCTGTCTGTCTGTCCGTCACACTTTTTGGGACACAATAACTCTCTTCCTAATTGAGCTAGAATGTTCAAACTTGGTGTATGTGTTTATTAGGTCAATGCCTTGATGGAGTTCGAAGATGAGCATTTTCCGCTTAGGGTAAGCAGAGATAAGCAATTTGATTGGTTGATGCTTTGGGACACGATAACTCTCTTCCTAATTGGGCTAGAATGTTCAAACTTGGTGTATGTGTTGATTAGGTCAATGCCTTGATGGAGTTCGAAGATGAGCATTTTCCGCTTAGGGTAAGCAGAGATAAGCAATTTGATTGGTTGATGCTTTGGGACACGATAACTTTTAATTGAGCTAGAATGTTCAAACTTGGTGTATGTGTTTATTAGGTCAATGCCTTGATGGAGTTCGAAGATGAGCATTTTCCGCTTAGGGTAAGCAGAGATAAGCAATTTGATTGGTTGATACTTTGGGCACGATAACTCTCTTCCTAATTGAGCTAGAATGTTCAAACTTGGTGTATGTGTTGATTAGGTCAATGCCTTGATGGAGTTCGAAGATGAGCATTTTCCGCTTAGGGTAAGCAGAGATAAGCAATTTGATTAGATGAGCATTTTCCGCTTAGGGTAAGCAGAGATAAGCAATTTGATTGGTTGATACTTTGGGGCACGATAACTCTCTTCCTAATTGAGCTAGAATGTTCAAACTTGGTGTATGTGTTGATTAGGTCAATGCCTTTGATAGAGAGTGATGAAACTTAAGTGTATAGTTGATAATCAGTTTGATTGCTTGATACTTTAAAAAAAATAAATGTGCGATAAATTAATGTGTCATCTATTTATTTTGGTATTTTGGCGGGGGACATCAGCCTCACTGTTGGCTTGTTTTTAAAACGGCAGAAAAGCAGTTGAAAGTAGATTGTCAAGACGTCCCTATTTGACTATTTCCAACCTCTCGGTGCATTTTTATACGCCGAAAATTTCATGTGGACGTATTGTGTCGTCGCCCGTCCGTGTGTTCACATTTTCTTTGTGGACCCTCTAAAAGTCACAATTTTTATCCTATGGACCTCATACTGCACGCAGCGACCCATCTACGTCATACTTCCCAGCCGGAGCTAGCTGTAGATAGGCAGCCTAAGTTTGGGATGCTATGGACCTATGTTGACGAAACTTAAAATATAGCATAGGTTCCTTTTGATAATCGTAACTTCATGGATTATGACCCCAGATTATACGCAAAAATCACGTTTTTAGTCTGTGGGTCCTAGTTCACCGAATAGAGAATATTTTGGTACCAAAACGAAGTCCGATTTATCCTTGGAAGTTGGATAATTATTAGCCGTTATTAATGACATGTTTTATATTGGATGGAACTTAAAATGCATCATATTCATAACCCACAGATATCGGTTCCTGTCGATATTGGCGGATATCGGACCGTAACTTCGTGGATTATGGCCCCCGATTGTACAAAAAATCGCATTTAGCTTGTAGAGGTCACAATAATTATCTGATTTTAAAAACCGTTCAAATAATATAATGATCACTATTCTCCCTAGTCGGCGTGATGTTTGGGGGTAAAATTCTAATGACCCGAAAGTGTGACGTATTTATGTAATATTTATTCATTGTTATGGAAATATCGTATTGTTGGTCGGAAGATGTCGTATAATTATGAAGAGGGGTTGTCCCCAGGGCAGAGGCTAAAAGTCGTGACAGCACGAAATTAAACCTTGCTGAGCTGGCAATATGTCCTTACAAGATCGCGGCTGACAAGTGGTTGAACGACCCCAAACAATGGCCCGAAATAGAATATAAAGACGTGTACGCATATCTCATCAAAAGACAAAAGTCCACGTAAGTTTACCTGTTGAATATTTATATAGGCCTATTTATTTAGAAACAGTTTTTTACTTCACATAGGACGTGTTTGTGGCAAAGCTAGTTCATTTTGTTAGTATTGTTTTATTTAAAGCCTGTAGGTAGACGCCTAAATAGTCGAGACTAGGCCTACTCACAAAAATAATTTAAATAAAAGCTATATTATTATTTAGATATTGGTCACTGTTAATGTAGTGAGGGACTAGATATTTGATAACTGTATGAATAGTATGTTGACATACATTTTTTTAAAAAGCAGTTCAAAGTATTTCGTCATTTTAAATTTACATTTGAATTAGGATTATCTATTTCTTTTTCATGTCACGTTTCATGCAGCTTTATTGATTTTAATTTATACGCTGTTTATAAAACTATTTACATTTCTTTTTTAAAACTATATTTTTAATATTTTCAGGTTTGTATTCTCAAGAGGCTATGGAGAACTACAGATCACTTGAGGCTCACACATTTTTTATTTTCGGCTGGGTTCAGACGATAGATTACATGTCATTTCGGTCCCGCGTCATTTCGGACTCCTCGACATTTCGGACTCGGGTAGGTGACGTTTCGGACTCGGTCAGGCGACTTTTCGGACTCGGACTGGCGACGTTTCGGACTCAATAAAATCTGAAAAATTCTATGTATAGTATAGTATATATTTGTAATAACTGTTTTTTCTTTCGTTTTAGGTGAGGCTGAAAACAGACCATTCATAATAATAAAGAAATTAGTTGTGTTTTATTTATCCCATACAGACTTGTGAAATCTTGTTGAAACGTGCAGTGAAATAAACCACAGTAATTGTTATCCATAAATAGTGTGTTATTTGATTATGTTCCAATTACTAAATGCCATTTAAAGAATAATTAAATTATTAGTGACAAATAAATAGATTTGGTTAAATACACAGAGTTTGATAAAAATATAGATTTTATTATATATAAATATGGTCGACAACCCTAATCCTCGCACTAATAGAAGATAGGCCTAAAATGTTATTTATTTATAACCAGTAGCTGAAACAATCTTGATATTTGTTTATTTGCCCTTCAATATCTAAATTGTAGTTTGTCCTTCCATATTCTTTAAAATATATATGAATGTTTTTCGACAGTTGTACGTGATTACAGCTCAAATAAAAAATAACATTCTTGTATTCTTTTTTATAAAAAAAAAACAACCGTAAAATAGTCGGCGGTAACAAGGAATCATTAAGCATTTGGTCGGCGGTAATTATAATACGGTCGAAAGTCATTACAATGCGGTCGGCGGTAAAAAGTTTTTGGTCGGCGGTAATTACACGACGGTCGGCGGTAAAAAGCATTTGGTCGGCGGTAAAAAGTACCACCGTCCAAACCATGGGATCTAAATCTGAAACTAAATCTGTAAACACTTATTTGTTGAATATGAATATATATTTATCACCCCACCCCATTCCATACAAAGAAAAGAAAGTGGAAATAAATACTCATTGTAAATTTTGGTTTGACATTTGACCATGACCCCATAACCGTTTTAAAAGGCCATAATCTTGGCTTGGGCCATGTTAGGTTTTCCCCTAGCTAAAAAGTATTTGTGCTATGTTCGGCTCCCTCTCTCTTTAAACAAACGGAACAAAACTATCAAGTTTTATTATGCATTAAAACATATTTACAGGTAAATGTCCCATTTCAAGCCGTTCTGTGATCTGTTCTGTGTATTAGCTTAAAGCTATACTGTTCTTTAACTGCTTTATTTGCTGCTGTATCTGTTCATAAGACAAGTCTAGTTGTCTAGTCTGTGACTTTTCATTATACGAAAGCATCTAAAGACTGTACGATTAAAGTGCATTTCTCAAGATTTTGGTGTAATAACTAAAGCTTCGTTTCAACCCTGCAGACGTACATCCCAGTGGGAACATCTGTTCGCATGATCGTCTCGAAAGGATGGCATTGGTTCTGAGAATCCATTCCCAGGTAATGCAAAATTATAAACTATAGCGCCTTAAAGAGGCATTATGGGAGATTAGTTAAAGAGCTGACTATTCTCGCTATAATTTAAAAATAAAAACAAAATAGATAATGTAAATAGAATATGTTGAAAATTTCAGTCAAGTTGCTCCACTCTGAACCAAAATATTTAGTGTTTGAATTTTAAGCCTAGCCTCGATCATCATTACTAAAGACGGTACGATAAAAAACAAAGTCTCGATTATCCATTTTTGAATTTAATCATCAATGAGCGTTGAGCAGCAGATCGGATTCAAATCCAGTTAAAATCCGACACATAGGATGGCATCGAGGGCTGATTTTGGTTTTGGTAACTTAATTAATGTCTAATAAATAATTTAGATAGCATTTCAGACCTAAAGAAAGATCTGCAATACGCAGATTTGGGTCTTGCATAATGTATGTTTATGTAAACAAAGAACACACTGTCAACATTATAAATTCAACATTATTTAATAGATGGATACAATGTGATTTATGATAAAGTTGACATATACATGTACAAGTATATTCTAGTTGTATGTTTAATAATTCATAGGATATGCATATAAATTATAATTGCATGCTATATATTCAAATTCAGCTATTTAAAGTTACAATTTCATATTTTTCTTAGAAAGTCAAAACATAATTATTTCTATGTCTTTTGCTCAATAGGTTGTCAACTCACTATACGATCATAGGTGTCATTCTCACACTTAAAACTCATTTACACCAGAAATAACAACACAATTACCTCCCCTGTTTTCAATTCTCCACCATGGAGTAGTTGTCTTCAAACATTTGATTTTGAAGATGAAAATGATATTTTTGCCAATTTCTTAACTGGCAATAGTGAATTATAGGATTAATAGGATTATTCTTTAACAAGGTAGGACTGTTAAAAGATACCATCTATTTTAAGGCTTTATTTTAATAAATTTTAAAAATATAACTTAAAAATATGAAATTGCAACTAAGTAAAGGGAGATAATAATATTCAATAATATTA